GACTATCTACTTTTTTGAAGAAATCTTTTGATGTTTCAACATTATCTCTTCTTTGTTGTTTATAAACAACACGAGTTACATACCACCCATTTTCTTCAGCAACACAAATTGCATTTTCAGTGCTTTCTTGATCAGTAAAACAAATAAATACTGTTCCAGTTGGAACTTGGTTATGCATTTGGATATGGATGCTATAAATTTTACCACAACCCTTGAAGTATTTAGAAATACTTTTTCGAGTGAGCTTGCTACGTTTCTTAAATTCAATTTTTAAATTATAATCTTTATACAAAGATGCTATATTTTCTTTTTTTTCTTGTGCCTTTTCTTTTTTTGATTTATATAATTCGATATGAATATCTTTTCCTAATACATTTTCTGTTGGACTATTTACTGCTTTTATAGCATCTTCTTCATTAATATAAGTAATAAATACATTTTTCTTTTTGTGAATAGGTTCAAAACGAAAGAAACATTTTATTTTCTTATCCTTTTTTTCTATTTCTCCAAATTTTGAGAAATAAGCAATAATATCAATATCTTCGACTGTTGAATCAATATTTGTTACATAAATACAATTATATTTATTAGCAGGTTTATTAAATGGTCCAATAACAAAATTTTGATCTCCTATTTGTTTTTGAATTTCTCCTTTTGAATTAAGTACTTTTTGACATTCTTCTTCAGTTTCAATTCCTTTGTTTAATATTCTTTTATAACATATTACTACTATACCCTTTATTTTTCATCTTGAAACATTAGTTCATAATAAATATATTGAAAAAGAAGATGTTGAAGAAAGTATGTCAAAAGAGAATGAATAGACACACCACTAGAAATTAATATTAATTATAATTATAGCTAAAGAATAGTGAAATTATTTCTTAAACTGATGTGTCTCGTTTGTTTACTTATAGTTGTTTCTATCAGTTAATTTTCAGATGTAATAACCAATTTCTTTTCTTCAAGTAATTTTTTATTAAGTACAAAATAAGACAAATTGTATATAAAAATACTTAAAGTATTACATTCAGAGAATTTATAAGAAATGTAAATAAGACAATTAGGCTACATGAATAAAAAAATATAGTATAATTAGAAATAGTAGAGTATATTCTTTGTTATACACGAGATGAAAGTTCTTTATAAACTTTCAACGGATTTCCTTCAAAACAGACATTTTTATGTTGTAGAAGGTTTTTGAGAGTATTTTCAACTACTCCCTTTGTTGATTTGTCTGTTTTCACATGAGGAAGAGGCTGGAAAAAAGATGGCAATTGAACAGATGATAAATAAGAATTCATGGTAATTTCTTTCTACAAAAAAAGAATTCTTTTAAAGTCTTTTCAGTTGTAAAAATGAGATGTCCAGAAAAGAAAAGATTTTTTGTTATAAATAATATATTTTGTTATTTCGTGAGTTTGAAACTGATTAAGAAGAACAAAATTAACAAAGAGAAGCTATGCAAGAACTAAGTCATCTTCCAAACAAATCAAATGCCTTCTCTAATTTTATTCCAACACGAGTTTGATTAAATATATTTTTAAATGATAATAAGATACTAATAATTACAGTGTAAGAAAAACCTTCATCTTGAGATAGTTGATGATAACAATTCAATAATCAATGACCAGACACATGTGTTAATTAAACATAACAATGATATTGAAGGTCCAATTAAAAGAAAAATAGAGACTGAAGATCATGCACCTCGAATTAGACAAACAAAAAGGGTAAAATCAATACAAACTGATTTAATTTATTAATTTTTGTTATATATATCTAATTTAAAACAAAACAAAATTTTAAGATAAATTGTTTTCTTTTTATAAAATAGTCATTCCTTTGCAAAGAATAGCCAATACAAAATAAGTTAATTATACAAAAACATGAGAACTTAAAAAGAAATGAAAAAATATCCTATCATTTAACTGACATTAATTTGAAACAATGCAACGAATATTCTATTCAAAGTTCTGTGAGAGTTGAAATAATGAGATCAAAAGAGTTAACAGATTTGGAGGAACTATAAAAGCATGAAAAATAACTTACAAATTCATTAACTAAAAACAAACATGTCTTGGCAATCATATGTTGATTCATTCCTTGTTGGAGCTGGAAAAGGTATGGGAGGAGCCATTATTGGACTTCAAGGTGGTGTCTGGGCTGCTTCAGCTAACTGCACTCCATCAGCTCAAGAATCAGTTGCTATTGGAACTGCTTGTGCTTCAAACATTGCTGGACTTCAACAAACTGGTGTTGTCATTGGTGGTAAGAAATTCATGATTACCAGAGTTGATGCTGATGAAGGAACTGCTATGGGTAAGAAAGGTGCTGAAGGTATCTCAATTTACAAAACCAAACAAGCTGTTATCATTGGATATTTCTCAGATGCTTCAGTCTCTGCTGGACAAAACTCTGATGCCACCTACAAGTGCGCTAAATATCTCATGGACGCTGGATATTAAATTAAACTAATTCTATCACAGCTTTCTTAGTCTTTGACTTTGTTGTTTTTATTTTCTATTCTTTTCATTATAAAATGATAAGTTTTGATATATTATATTTTTGGATTGATTCTTTATTCTTTTGTATAAAACAAATTGCAGATACTATGATGAAATGAATCATTTATTAGTTATATTACTCAGTAGAAAATGTAATGAAGTTTCTTACTTTTATAAAAGAAAAGACAATCTTTATGAGACTGACATAAATCAAATAACTTTATAGTATTGATAAACAAAAAAGTTTAACAGAATAATAACAAAAAGAAAATGAAAGAGAGGAGATGACTTAAAGAATAAAGTGATAAATTCAAAAAAAGGGAAAGAGCAAATAACATTGATTAAAACAATAATAACACAAATGGCTATATTAAATAATGAAATAATATTTACTTAACATACATAATTAAAGAAGGTACCGTTAAATAATAAAGAAAAAAGGAAAAGAAGAAATTATAAAATAAAGAAATAAACAACAAAACAAATAACAAACAAAAACAAAAAAAGAAAATAGGTAAATAACAAGAATTTTTCACAAATTTAAAATAAATAATAAAATAAATTATAAATTAAAAATATATAATACATGAGAATATTCTAATAAACTTCATCTAAGAAATATAAATAAATTTAAATATGGAAGTAATTATAGGAAGTGACCATGCTGGTTTTCCATTAAAAGAAATTGTAAAAAAGTACTTAATTGAAAAAGGAATTAAAGTAAATGATATGGGTACTTATTCTACTGAAAGATGTGATTATCCTGATTTTGCTGAAAAAGTTGCACATGAAGTTGTTAAAACTGGAAAAAAAGGTATTTTAGTATGTGGAAGTGGAATTGGAATTTCTATAGCTGCAAATAAAATTAATGGTGTTAGATGTGCTCTTTGTCATGATCATTATACTGCTGTAATGTGTAGAAGACATAATGATGCTAATATTATTGCTTTTGGTGCTAGAGTTATTGGTTCTGATATTGCTACTGATATGGTAGATGCTTTCTTATCTACTCCTTTTGATGGAATGCAACATACTGCTCGTGTTGAAAAAATTCACAAATTAGAACAAAACCATTAAATTGAAAGAAATTAATTTAATTATTTTGTTTATGTTCTTTTTTTTTTTATTGTTCCTTTCAATTTATTCGTTTTTTTAATTAACAAAAGGAGGTGATAATTATTAAATAAACTTAACATAATTCTTTTATCGTTCTTTATAAAATCTAATTATTAACACTTATATTTAATTTAGTATATTTCTTATTTTAATTTGTAAGTTAAGTTGTTCTATTATTTTAATTGTTTAAGTCTAATTCTTTATATGTAATGATAATTATTCATTGTTCAACTAAAAAAACTTGTTTTAATAATATCTTTAAGTTTAAAGTATTTTGAATATAATATTACATATGAAAATAGTTATAATAACATTAAGATTAAAAGGATTACTTCGTTTATTGTTTCTTTTTGATAGAATACTTAGAATCTAATTTAAATTATAAATAGTCTAGAACCATTCAATTCTTTTTTCTTTTTTCTTTTTCAAAAATAATTTAAATAATAAAATTAAAAATAAATAACAAAATAATAATAATATAAAAAATGAAATGAATAACAAAAATTCAATCAGTTATTTCTTCTTAGAAATATTTAATGATTCATGTTCTTCAAATAATGTTTTTAATATCACTTTTTGAGTTTTTGTAAGTTTAGATAAAACAATATCAATACTAATTATATTAATAAATAATAATCCTAATAAATACAAATAATAAAACAACAAACTCATTCTTTTTTAATTTTCTTAATATGCTCATTGTAGCTCCTTTAATAATTCCTGATACTTCATCAATGATAATGTCTTTATCTAAAATAATAATAGTAGCCTCAAGTAAATCATACAACCCTTTTTTATCATCACAATTTAATACAATTTCATAAAATGCAAATGCACTTGATGAAGAACATGGCATTAAATTAGCAAGAAATATTGGAAGTGAAGTTCGAATAACTTTACTGAGAGAGTATAACTGGTTTGTAAATTTACAAATGGCTAAATAGAGTTTTTCGTCAATATAATCATTTTCAACAAATTTAACAATTTCTCCTGTTTTATAATATGACATAACATTTACAGCAATTGGATCAGCAAGAAGAGGAGGAAGAGATGCAATAACAGAACTAATTATTGTAGATACATATTTTGATTCAAAAGGAAGAATTAAAGTAAAAAATGAAATAGTATCAACATCAAGTGGTAGAGGAGCATTTAATACAAATTGAGGGAATGAAGGATTTGTGGCAATAATAAAACGAGCTTTTTCTAATTTTTCTATAAATTGAATAAGATAGAATGAAGGAGATTTAACAAATCGTTGAAGACATAAAGTAATAAATTCCTCTTGACAAGATTTAATCTTGTTAATAATTAAACACCTCTCAAATTTTTTTGTTAAAGCAACCATTAATAATAATACTTTCTTTTGAACTAATTTGTCTTCTGAAGAATAAAACAATTTATAATATAAATAAACAACTAGTTCACATAATTCTTGGGATGAATTACCTTCTTCAAAAATTGTTTTAATTGCATTTTTAAATGGTTTTAAATTAAAAGAATAATTTCTAAACCTTACAGCATTAGAAAGATGTGAATTTGATTTGTCAATAATAAACAAAATAATTCTTGCATAAACTAATGTTAGTTCTTCATTCATTGAATCAGGAATTATTGGAAAATGAAGTTGTTTTGAATATGGTACTTTAAGTTGATCTTCAAATGCAATTAATTGACCTAATAATACATTTGAAGATGTTTTTGGAGCTTGAGAAGTAGTAGTAAGTTCTCCACGAATAGTATAAAGACCACGAAGAATACAGTAATTAAGTTGAGATGAAGTATCAATGCGAATGTCATTAGGTAAAGTTGGTTGATTTAATAAAGAACGATATAATAAATAACAACTTTCATTACCTAATGGACTTTTACTTAGTTTTAAACAATTTTCATAATTTTGAATAGGAAAACATGGAAAAAGTACTTCATAATATCCTTTTAGTCCTTTTTCTTTTCCATTTAATTGAGAATATAAATCAATAATAGCTTGTTGCATATTATTATTTTGAGGTAATAAAGATGACAATATTATTACTTTTAATTCAATTGAAGATGGACAAATAAATGGAAGATTTGGTGGAAGTGATGAAATATTTTTACATTTACATTCAATAAAAAATATTTTCATAAAGTTATTCATTTGACTTGGTGTAAAATAATTAAAAAGAATAGGTCGTTTAATAAAATGAACAATAACCATTTTTAAATATTCTTTTCTTTTTTTGCATTCACAACAATAATGTTTATTAACATAATCAATAATATTATTTAATAACTTAAATTGACAAAGATGATTTTGAACTTCTTTAGATTGATATTGATGAGGGAAAAACTTGACTGAATCAATTAGTACCATTTTAAGTAAACAATCAAAATCATTTTTTATTGTTACCTTTTCATTTGGTTTTATCAAATGTAAACAACATCTTCCAATCTTTTTCATTAATTTTTGAGATTTATGATCACAATAAAAATTCTTTTCTTGTGTCTTTTTAATTTCCTTATCAATTTTTTGATCTTGTTGTGACGCATAAATAAGATTGATTGATTGATTTTCTGAAAGTAATGATTTCTTAATTTTTCCTTCACTTGATAAAAATTTAGGAGGATTTGAATTAGTTTCAATGTATTGATTTAATAACACTAAATATAATATTGATGTCACTGGATTCGCATTTAAATATAACCCTTTTAATACAAACTCAAGTTGAAATTTATTTTGTGTTTTTGATCCAACATAAACAGCTTGAAGTGCGGCTGTTGTTAGTGGACAATTTCTTTTCCAATGTTTTTCTTCAAATTTACCATATGCCATAGTTAAGAGTCGAGCAAATCCAAATGAATTTAAATTTGTGGATGGATTTTTTGGGAAGCTGGACATATGAAAAGACAATTATCAGATACGAAGATGTTTTATTTATTTTTTAAAATAAAGAAAAATAACATAATTTTTAAATTAAAAAACAAAAATTGATATTAAACCTAAAACATAAAATAAAATAAAAAAAAAAGAAAATAAGGAAAATTGTTATATTTACAATGAAAAAAGAAAAGAGAAAAAATAGAACGAACTGAAAATCAATGCAAGACTTATCTCCAGAACGCCTTGATGCAATCATTTCAAAGTGTTTCCAAGAAAGATCATTATTTCCAGGAAAAGAATTTATTAAAGCAAATGAAATAAAGTCATTATGTTCTATGGCAATTAGAGTTATTGCACAAGAACCAAGTTTACTTCAATTAAAAGCACCGATATACGTTATTGGAGATTTACATGGACAATTTACGGACTTACTTAGATATTTTGATGAAACAAAAATTGATCAAGATAGATATTTATTTCTTGGTGATTATGTAGATAGAGGATTTCGGTCAATAGAAATTGTTGTATTAGTATTTGCCTTAAAAGTTAAATACCCTGATAGATTTTTCTTATTACGAGGGAATCATGAAGCGAAGAACATTAATCATTTATATGGCTTTTTTGATGAATGTTTGTTAAAATTTTATTAATTTTTCGTGATTCAAGAAGATTGAGTGGTAATTAGTAATCAATTTGTAGGTAAAAGAAGATTTGATGTTGATACATGGAGAAATTTTTGTGAAGTTTTTAGATATCTTCCTGTTAGTGCATTAATTGAAGGTAAAATACTTTGTTTACATGGAGGATTAAGTAAAGATATGCAAGATGTTTCTTGTTTAACACAAATTGCACGACCAACTGATATTCCAGAAGAAGGATTATTATGTGATATTTTATGGGCAGATCCATCTACTGATACTTTTGGATGGGAAGAAAATATGAGAGGAGTCTCATATACATTTGGACCAGACGTTGCTTTAGAATTTTTAAAAAGAAATGGTATTGAATTATTATGTCGTGCACATCAAGTAGTAGAAGAAGGATTTAAATTTTGTTTTAATAAAAAGGTATTAACATTATTTAGTGCTCCAAATTATTGTAATAGTTTTAACAATTGTGGAGCAATGATGAGAGTTGATGAAAATTTGTATTGCACTTTTATTACTCTCAATCCTGAAGGAAGTGATTCTGATTGAATGTGAAATTTTAATATTTTAATTTTTATAGTTTTAAATAACAAAAAAAAAAATGAAAGATTAACAATAATAATAAAAAAGAAAGAGAGATGAATTAATAGTCATTCTATTATAAGTTGGTCTAATGGTTTATTTGAAGAATTAGAAGAAATAGAATGATTAATAGAAGGATCTAAAGAATTATTAATATTATCAGAAGAAGATTCATTAATTGGTTCTTCAGTCATTTCCACTTGAATAGAAGAAGGACTTTCATTAGAAATAGGAATCGGAGTATCAGTAGAAACGATTTGATTAGAAGAGATCTCATCATTTGATTTATTTTGGAGTTGATTTTGAGCATGTTCTCTAAACATTCTATCAACTTTTTCTCTATCAGTTTCTAAACCATCAGGAGGATGATTAACTAAAAATGGATCAATTTGAGCCAATTCTTTTTCTTTTCTTGGTTGTCCACCAAACCATTTTTTTAATACTAATTCATCAAACATAACTAACATTTTTTTAAAAGCTTTATTACTATTTGTTGCATTTGGATCATTAATATTTACGTCTTCATCAGTTTCAATTAATCTAACATTTAATGGTTCACTTCCTCCCATTTCTATTTTCATTAATTTTAATAAAGGAGGAGTAGTCATTCCAATAACAACATTTGTAAATAAAACAATTGAATAAGTTGTATTAATAATAATTGGTGATGCCATTTGTAAAGAAAGAAGAACAGCAATAGCACCTCTTAATCCAGCATACCATAACATTATTTGATGTCTCCAAGTAATTTTAGGTGAATTTTTCCTAAGATTCATAATAAAAGTAATAGGGAAAATATTAAAAGCTCTTGAAATAAAACACAAAAGAATAACATATGGAATAAAAATTGGATTCCATAAATCAAGTGTTAAATTTGATGGACTAAATGATGTAATTCCAACTGAAATAAATGTTAAAGTTTCACTTACAAATGCAAGTGTTCCAACTGAAGTATAAAGAGTAGGTCTTTGATTTTCAGGAACAGAATACCAATGATGATGTGACATAACTGCACCAGTTACAAAAATAGTTAAAATTCCTGACATTTCTAATAATTCAGAAATAAAATATCCAAGAAATGCAACACAAAGAATTAATACCAAATTAAATGTACTTGAAACATTTATTCCTTTCATTTTATTAAAAATAAATGCTGAAAAATATGAAACAAATAATCCAATAGCACATGATCCAATAGAAATAACTAAAAATTGAACGATTATTTTTACTAAAGATAACCATCCAAATGATGTTCCTGTTCCATCTAATGTATGAAATAATACAATAGAAACTGCATCATTTAATACTGATTCTCCAAAAACTAATGAATATAATAATGGATCTACATTTAATTCAAGAAATAATGCAAGTGTAGCAACTGGATCAGTAGCACCAAGTAACGTACCAAATTGAAGTGATTGAGTTATATTTAAATTATTTTTACCAAGTCCAATAAATTTAATATTTCCTAAAAATGTATATCCATATATTCCAAATCCAATTATTAATGATGAAAGTACACATCCTCCAATAGCATATGATAAAATTGGAATAATATTTGCAAAAAAATTCCTTTTTTTCATTGTGAATCCTGCATTAAATATAATACATGGTAAAAATATGGTTTGAAATATATGTGCAAAATGAAGTGCATCTAATAAAAAGTCTACTCCAAGATAATGTAATACTAATAGAATTAATCCTACTATTACTCCTATAAATAATGATACTATTGACTCGGATAATATATGTAACCATGGTATTAATCTTACTATTATATGTGACATTAATGTTATTATTAATATCCCTACTATTAATATCCCTACTATTTCATATATAGACTTTCCTTCTCCTTCTTCACTAACACTTGAAGTAATTGTCATCACTTGTTTGTGTTTTGTTTATTTTTTTTTAATTCTTTTTTTAACTTATATCCTTCTTTAAACCCCAAATTTTTCTTTACTTCGTTTCTAAAAGAATTGGATATTTTTTTTTTCCTCTTTCAAAAGAACTATTATTTGATTTGAGTTACAATAATCCTTTCCTTTAAAAAAAATTTAATTATAATATTAGTTCAAAATTACTTTATTTTATAATTTATTCTTATTTATTTAATTTTGGGTTATTTATCTTACACAAAATTCTTTTTTGTTTCTTTTTAATAACACTATTTTTGTATTTTATCTCAAATACTTTTATTTTTTTGTTAATTAGAAAGATATTTTTATAGTTTGCTTCTTCAAACTAACTTATTCTTTTATCTTTTAAAACAAAGGTTTTCTGTTTCATCACTTCTGTTCATTATATTTTGTTATTATTATAAACAACATTTGTTATGTTATTTCATTTGTAAAAATGAAAATAAATCCGACTTAATATTTTTATTTGAAAAAGTATTTTAATGAAAATACTATTCGAAGTTTTAATTTATTTTTTTTCTAATGATTTAAATATTCTTTTTTTTGATTTAAACTACTATTAATAGAATTATTTTTCATAAATTCCAATTCCAAAAAAAAATTATTGGTTTTTTATTAATAAAAGATATTTCATAAGAATAACATATAATTTGAGTTTTTCACCAAACACTGGTTTAGTTGATTCAAAACACCTTCTATAAAATAAAATAAGGGAAGTAAATATTAATTACATTTAAAAGGCTTAAAATAAAGTTTGATAATTTATTTGATTTATTTAAACTTAATTATTTTTATTATGAAATTTTTTGACTTCGTTAGAATTATAATAACTTTATTTTTTATTTAGTTTACTATTATCTTCTTCTTTTCTTTTCCAGTAGTAATTAATGT